GAACTCTTAGTTTTGAATACCCCTACCCCCCCCCCTCCACCAGATCCCACACAGCTTGCCAATAATTCAGCTCCAAAAAAAATTATATTGAGAATTAAAAATAACAGACCAAAAATAATAAAAGTTTAAACTTTTAGCATTCTTTTAAAGAATATCAAAGACAGGAATTTGCAAGAAATTGCAGTGTTTGGAAATTCTCGCCTTTTATATGAAAAAAAAACCCATCCCATCCCGCGGGGTTCGAATTATAATTTAATCTTTTGATTTCCGTTTGCTTATCTGGCCAGATTAAATAGAAACCAGGCAGCTCGCGCGCGATAAAACTGGCATTAACGTGGCGTCATTTTATCCTGTTGCCGCTCAAGTATACGCCCGAGTTTCTTGACTGTTATTTCCCCTTAAATTGTGTCCCCTTTTTCCAATCAGTTTTACCATCTCGATAATGTGTTCTGGTTAGCACAAACTCCGGGTCCGCTGTTTGCTCAGTAAATAGAAGAGCAATTTTTTCCAAATAACGTTTTTGGCAATTTTACTTAACCGTGGTCCTAGTGGGCAAAAATCTAAAACTGGGCAACAAATTCTTATAACTCGGTCTGTCTGTTGTCAATCGTTCAGGTTTGTCCAGGTAATATGGAAACAAACTTCTACGAACTAAAGGACCAGATCTCTACGTGTTACTCGTAACAGCACATAACGGGATGAAGCCAACGCTTCAAGTCTACAAGTCTCCCAAGAATCAGAAGCCAACGCTTCAAGTCTCCCAAGAATCAGAAGCCAACGCTTCAAATCTCCCAAGAATCAGAAGCCTTCAAGTCTTCCAAGAATCAGAAGCCTTCAAGTCTCCCAAGAATCAGAAGCCTTCAACTCTCTCAAGAATCAGAAGCCAACGCTTAAAGTCTTCAAGTCTCCCAAGAATCAGAAGCCAACGCTTCCAATCTCCCAAGAATCGGAAGCCTTCAAGTCTTCCAAGAATCAGAAGCCTTCGACTCTCTCAAGAATCAGAAGCCTTCAAGTCTCCCAAGAATCAGAAGCCAACGCTTCAAATCTCCCAAGAATCAGAAGCCTTCAAATCTCCCAAGAATCAGAAGCCTTCAAGTCTCCCAAGAATCAGAAGCCTTCAACTCTCCCAAGAATCAGAAGCCTTCAAGTCTCCCAAGAATCATAATCCAACGTTTCAAGTCTCCCAAGAATCAGAAGCCAACGTTTCAAGTCTTCAAGTCTCCCAAGAATCAGAAGCCAACGCTTCAAGTCTTCAAGTCTCCCAAGAATCAGAAGCCAACGCTTCAAGTCTTCAAGTCTCCCAAGAATCAGAAGCCAACGCTTTAAGTCTCCAAGTCTCCCAAGAATCAGAAGCCAACGCTTCAATTCTCCCAAGAATCAGAATCCAACGCTTTAAGTCTCCAATGAATCAGAAGCCAATAACGCGACTGTGCTTGTCTGATGTATTTTTAAAAGGAGAATCCTCTAGGGACCCCTGTCTTACTTCCTGTTACACCCGACCCCCGACCCGACCCCGACATCAGGATATATCGGCTGATATATCCACATTGACATCTTTCAACACAATTTACGTCTTCAAACATCAGCAGAGAAACCTCAGGAGTTGCCGTTTGATTGGTTGGTTGGACATGAAGGTTTCATTTTGATTGGTTGTTGAGGGTTGAACATGAAGGTTTTAGTTTGATTGGGTGGTTGAACATGAAGGTTTTAGTTTGATTGGGTGGTTGGACATGAAGGTTTTAGTTTGATTGGTTGGTTGGACATGAAGGTTATAGTTTGATTGGGTGGTTGGACATGAAGGTTTTAGTTTGATTGGCTGGTTGGACGTGGAGGTTTTAGTTTGATTGGGTGGTTGGACATGAAAGTTTTAGTTTGATTGGTTGGTTGGACATGAAAGTTTTAGTTTGATTGGGTGGTTGGACATGAAGGTTTGAGTTTGATTGGTTGGTTGGACATGGAGGTTTGAGTTTGATTGGTTGGTTGGACATGGAGGTTTGAGTTTGATTGGCTGGTTGGACATGAAGGTTTCAGTTTGATTGGTTGGTTGGGGGTTGGCCATGAACATTTCCGTGAAAGTTCATCCGATAAAGTGCGGAAGTGTTAAAACTGTAGAAATGTCATGAATTTTTGTGTGTGTACGATTACAATGTTTTCTCTATACTCTTTATACAAGAAAGTAAAAAAAATAAAACAACACCACCATTCAGTCGTTGAGTCAACCCTCAATAATATATTGTTACAAAAAGTATAGTTAACATTTGGCAAAAATCCACCAGACATACGTCTAAGTATAAACGTCTAACAAACCTTGACAGTAACCATGAACACCACAACATCGATGTCTTGTCGCTAACCTTTGAACTATTGTTTTAAACTTGTGTGACGACACTTGCTGTCATCTAATTCCCATTTGGCCTACTCTACTCTACCATCCAGACTTGGACGGTGTAAGGGGAAAAAAGAACAATGGAATTTCTACCCCATCGATCCGATTGTTGGGGAGTTAAACAGAAACAAAACCGTCCCGTTTTTTAGAACAGCGCGTAGTGATCTAGACCTTCAGATGACGTCACTATGCAAATAATGTCTATCTCATCGTGGCGCGTGCACCCAGCTTCCTGTTTCAACAGATGGTTTTTGGGTAGGGGAAGACGTCATAACTCCGGGGCCTAAGGGGAGAGAAATGTGATAATAATGTTCTTGTCAGAAGCAGGGGGGACAACAAATTATGCGGAGTGGACAGCAGAGTGAAAGGGTCAGGGAGGGGGGGGGGGGGGGGCGGGGAGGGGGGGGGGAATCGAAGACCAAGTGTAAATAATTGTTCCAGCCTCAAAGACCGGGGAAATAAAGTCCCGCGGCTCTTGCTGGGTGTCAAAACAACGTGTTTTAATTTGGTCCCTGGGACAGGGGGTGGGGGGTGGGGGGGTAGATAGGTGGATGGTAAGGTGTCGAGAGGAGGGGGGCGTTTAGGTTGGGGGATGGGAGGTGTTAGAGGGGGAGGTTAGGTAGGGTGGATGGTAAGATGTTCAGTAGAAGGTTAGGTGTCGAGGGGGGGGGGGGAGCGTCTAAGTTTGGGGGTTGGAAGTGTTAGAGGGGAGGGTTAGATGTTGTGAGTGTATGTGTTGAGGGGGTAGGTGTTGAGGTAACTTACTGTGAAATGGAATGTGGAAGCACGACGATCTTAGTAAACCTAACAGTTACATATTTTCTAGAGGAAAGTTTATATTCAGTTTGCGAAAATTAACATTTTAAATTAAAGTAGGCAAACTATTTAGCAAATTGAGTAAAATATAAAGTTTTGATTTTACATTTTAGATTTACCGTGTTCATCTCTAATACATCATAAGCTGGGCACATCCAAGTAAACAACTCTTAACATCTCATTAGAATTTTGGAAGGTAGAAAAACTGGATTTTTTTTTACATGCACTAAACAATAAATAGGTCTCACAAGACATGTGATTTAAGTAACCAAAAAAAAAGTAAAAAAAAAAAAACAACAAATGATGAATGACCGAGTTGCTTCTTCTGCATTATCATACGAGTTTCAGACTATTTGTCTACTCTAGCCAGATAAATTTATGATAGTTTCAACCAAAACACCAATGACAAATAGCACAGGATAAGTTACAGACCTACTCTGGCTCCTACCGTCTTCCTACTGTAACTGGCTAAACCGCTGGAGATGTAGATTTCGCTCTACAACTTCGGCCAGCAACACCTTAAGCTTTATTTATAGATATTTCCCGTTCCCTTGCCCCGCCCGTGTCATATTTTATTGGGCTTTTGCTCTCAGCTGGAAAACTCGATCGGCTGCTGACAGAGTCGGCCAGATTTTTTTTTTACCTTGCCAAGGCCATTATGATGGATTCCGACCCCGTTGTGGGGCGACAACTGCGTATTTCATGGCTGGACACTGGCCTCGGTGGATTTAGAGATGTCTATAGCGGGGATAGGCCGTTTAGGACATCTACAGATAATTATAGCGGGAATAGGCCGTTTAGGACATGTACAGATAATTTTAAACACAACATAGGACATATACAGGCGATTCTATGCTTTGTTACATTACAAGGCATATGCAGGCGATTTGTTTCTTTCTTACATTACAAGGCATATGCAGGCGATTCTATGCTTTGTTACATTACAAGGCATATGCAGGCGATTTGATGCTTTGTTACATTACAAGGCATATTCAGGCGATTCTATGCTTTGTTACATTACAAGGCATATACAGGCGATCTGATGCTTTGTTTCATTACAAGGCATATACATGCAATTTGATGTCTTGTTGCATTATAAGGCATGTAGAGGAGACTTGATGCGTGCAGTATAAAAGCAATTTATAGAACAATAGCTGATAGATTTAAGTAGCCGGCATGGAAGCAATGTATTTTCCTAAACCACAGGAAGAAAATATTTGACTGTATGAACATTTCTCGTCCTAATAATGCCCCCTGCACTAGCGGCCCACAAACTGCCCACCAGACCGCCCACCAGCCCACAAACTGCCCACCAGACCCCCCATAAATAGCCCCCAGACTGACCTCAAACTCCCCCAAACTTCATGAAAGATTGTCTCAGACATACGAACCTAGTACTCTAATCCAAACACCAGCACGCATGTAAAAGGAAAGGTTTATCTGAAGAACAATATCCAAGATTAAACCACACGTGCCGCACTGGTTATAGACACGCTCACTGGTGGGGGGGGGGGGGGGGGCATAGATCTGGATATATCGATCTCAAGTCTCATATTGATGTCTACATTCATTGGAATACAGTCCCGAGGCGTCGACTATTCAAAAGCTTGTACGCACCATTCGGCATAATGCTCTCACGAGAATACTATAAGAAAAACGGGATCGTCTTTAAAAACATTTTCATTAGCTGCATTTCTTGAATGTAATTTGCAATTTTATTTTTTAAATATGATTACATATTTTTTTCCATAGCCCATTAATTATTTAGATTAATTATGAGACTAATTAAAACAAATTACTAAAATATTTGCACAGTTGTGAATTTCATGAAAAAGGTCTTACTTGAGCGATGTTGAGAATAAAGGTTGGTAATGGGGTTGGTGATGGGGTTGGTGATGGGGTTGGTGATGGGGTTGGTGATGGGGTTGGTGATGGAGTTGGTGATGGGGTTGGTGATGGGGTTGGTGATGGGGTTGGTGATGGGGTTGGTGATGGGGTTGGTGATGGGGTTGGTGATGGGGTTGGTGATGGGGTTGGTGATGGGGTTGGTGATGGGGTTGGTGATGGGGTTGGTGATGGGGTTGGTGATGGGGTTGGTGATGGGGTTGGTGATGGGGTTGGTGATGGGGTTGGTGATGGGGTTGGTGATGGGGTTGGTGATGGGGTTGGTGATGGGGTTGGTGATGGGGTTGGTGATGGGGTTGGTGATGGGGTTGGTGATGGGGTTGGTGATGGGGTTGGTGATGGGGTTGGTGATGAGGTTGGTGATGAGGTTGGTGATGAGGTTGTTGATCAGGTTGTATTGAGGTTGGTAATGAGGTTGGTGCTGAAGTTGTTGATGAGGTTGGTGAAGAGGTTGGTGATGAGATGGGATTGGTGATGGGGTTGGTGATGAGTTTGATGATGAGGTTGTATTGAGGTTGGTAATGAGGTTGGTGATGAGGTTGGTGATGAGGTTAGTGATGACGTTGGTGAAGAGGTTGGTGAAGAGGTTGGTGAAGAGGTTGGTGAAGAGGTTGGTGAAGAGGTTGGTGAAGAGGTTGGTGAAGAGGTTGGTGAAGAGGTTGGTGAAGAGGTTGGTGAAGAGGTTGGTGAAGAGGTTGGTGAAGAGGTTGGTGAAGAGGTTGGTGAAGAGGTTGGTGAAGAGGTTGGTGAAGAGGTTGGTGAAGAGGTTGGTGAAGAGGTTGGTGAAGAGGTGAGTGATGAGGTGAGATATGATGTTAATGATGAGGTTGGTGAAGAGGTTAGTGTTGAAGTTGGTATTGACAACTGTTTTATTTTTGTGGTTAACGTTAAAATCATTAGCAGAAATATTTTTAAACTAATATTTTAATTGCGAGAAAATTAACGCTTCAGTGTAATAACAGATTAAATGAACTTACATCGAAACGCAACTTATTTAGATTTTAAAATTTTTAAATTTCTTGCGTGCCTTTTACATACTTTGATCAGAGAAATATACAAACAAGTTCAAAGAGAGATGCATATTAATCAATTCAGGGTGATAGAGGGTAGACAGCTCCCCCCCCCAACCCCCACCCCATGCTTAGCCCAGTCACGAAGATTTAGATTATTGTTTCAGACACCCCTACTCCCCCCCCACCCCCCCCCCTCCCCCCGACGGTACACAGGCGTGATCGCAGGAGATCCCCACAAATCTGGCCCGGCCCAGGCCGTCAATCAGAGCCAGAAATCTCCTGACACGTCTGGCACTATTGGGGACCTGGCGATCGTGTGCCGGACAATGGACTCGTCCTGATTACGTCACAACGACCGTCTTGTCAAAAATCAGCACACACACACACACACAGACACACAGACACACAGACTCACAGACACAGAGACAGACAGACACACACAAACAGACACACACACAAACACATACACACTGACACACACACAGACAGACACACAGACACACAGACAGACACACACACATTGACACACACAGACATACACAAAGACAGACACACACAGACATACACACAGACAGACACACACACACAGACACACAGACACACAAACACACAGACACACATACGCACAGAGACACACACACAGACACACACACACAGACACACCGACACACATACAATTTACACAAACACACAGAGACACAGAGACACAGACACACACACACACATACACACAGACACACACTTGAAAATAAAATAGTATTGCTATTCCGAAAGTATTGGTTAACTTTGAGTTAAACTTTCAACCCATCGATAATCAAATCAATTATGCCATCAACCCAGATGTCGAGGTCGTGTTTTACAACAGCTAGAAAAAAACCCAAGCAGGAACTCCACACGACGCCATGTTGGTTTGTGGCTTGTTTACCCTGTCAAACCTAGAGTAGCTTCCCCTTATCTGTTCACAACATTTGACAAGGTTGTTTCTGATAGTTGTTTGTCTTGTATGAAATATTTAACCCTGAAGTGGGCGGCGTCTGGAGGGGTACGATGGCGTGTGCAGGAGGTTGTCACGATAAGTGTTGGTTTTAATTGATTGGCGTCAGGTTGGTTAGCACAAGGGGGGGGGGGGGGTTGTCGGTCGAGATTTGATCGTTAAGAAATAGATGACCGCTTGGGTATGGAACCTGGGTAAAAGTGGGTTGGGGGGTGGGGTTGGATTTTTGCTGGGTGAAAGATTGGTGATTGTTAACAGATTGAATAGGCAATTGTAGGTCTTGTCATTTTCTTCTTCGAAAATGTTAACCTTCTGACATTTGGGTAAAAAAAAGTGACACCATATGACTTTTAGGTAAAAAACGTGACACCATATGACTTTGGGTAGAAAAGTGACACCATATGTCATTTGGGTCCAAAATTTGAAACATCTGATATTTGGGTTAACCAAAAACAACAGAATCAATTTTCTTCCTTGTAAAGATTTGTTTTAAACCACATGACGTCACATCATGTACACACTACCTCTTGTACTTTCAACTAAAACAATCAGATAGTTGGTAGGACATGATGGCTGAAGCAGCGATCACGTGTCAATCTACCAAACAAAACAAACGGCTGGTTTTTCCTGGGGCGGCCATCTTGCTTGTAGAATATCGTGCAGGCTAATTCGGTGTAATGGAATCGATACCGACAGTTTGCTTCAAGTAGATTTGAAATATTTACCGCGGTATCGTCGTTTTAAGATTCCATTCCATCGATTACATTAGTATTGGTGAGTACTGGGGAGTGTTGAGGGAAGGGAATGAAAGGGTGAAGGAGGGTGGGAGGAGGGAGGGAGGGGATGGAGGCATATAGAGCCAGGAAGAGACTTGACAGGAATGAAGGAAATGGGAACTGGCTGCTGTCGAGGTCAGTCAGGCGTTTGGTGTGGAGTGGATGGTAGAGGTCAGCGGGAACTGACATAGGCATGTCAGTGTGTGACACGAGCACATCGTTCAATGTATGACATCAAGACTGACACACGGTCAATGTATGACACAAAGACTGACACACGGCCGATGTATGACACAAAGACTGACACACGGCCGATGTATGACACAAAGACTGACACACGGTCAATGTATGACACCAAGACTGACACACGGTCAATGTATGACACAAAGACTGACACACGGTCAATGTATCACATCTGTCAGTGTTTGACACAAAGACTAACACACGATGGTAAGGCTGTTGTTTTGCTTCAAAATTTTAACCGTTCCGTCTTAAAGATTTAACAGAAAAGATGATGTCCCTTCCCTACAGCATGAAGTGGGGCCTGTCATCTTTAGTGAAGCGACGTTTGGTTGAGCCATATAGAGTTATGTACGAGCTTCTCAGAAAGTGATGACGTGTGGTCATTGTTCTCAGAAAGTGATGACGTGTGGACATTGTTCTCAGAAAGTGATGACGTGTGGACATTGTTCTCAGAAAGTGATGACGTGTGGACATTGTTCTCAGAAAGTGATGACGTGTGGACATTGTTCTCAGAAAGTGATGACGTGTGGACATTGTTCTCAGAAAGTGATGACGTGTGGACATTGTTCTCAGAAAGTGATGACGTGTGGACATTGTTCTCAGAAAGTGATGACGTGTGGACATTGTTCTCAGAAAGTGATGACGTGTGGACATTGTTCTCAGAAAGTGATGACGTGTGGACATTGTTCTCAGAAAGTGATGACGCGTCTAGTCTTCAAAACTGATGACGTACGGATACTGTTGATGTTATGAACATGAATGAAACAAATGAAGATTGTTTTGAAAAAGGGAATAACCGTGGACTATGACTTCCAAACGCTATGAACTATGTTATTAAAGTACACGATTTCCACATCGTGATGTAGGTCTATAAACACAGTACATCTTAAATAACAAAACCCTTGAATAGTTCAACGTCATACCTTTAAAAATGAATTGAGTAACACCACCCCCCCCCCCCCCCCCCCCCCCAGCCCCCACCCTCACCTTAGCCTGATTACCGAGAAGCATTTCTTGGAAGAAAATCTTTCTGTAGAATCGTGGATAAAAATAAAACACGTCTAAGTCTTATCCCCCCCCCCCCTTACCCCGACATTTCCTCTATCAACATCTACGCGCAAATATTGCGCAGCTTGTGCATAGAGTTCTCGGGATTTCCCGGAAGTGTTTGAAATTGGAAAGACGCGCCCGTTTGATTAGTCTGTAGATCTGCTAAAGCTGGTGGGAATGAATGAATGAAATTCGTGTGTAATCTATACAGCCATGTCGCGCGATGCGTGCCCTAAGAATACAAGGAAACAAATACTAATTCGAGGGTTGGGACAGATCAGTTGAATAAAAAACAGAAATCGGGCAATTCCGGTGATGAATTATGGCGCTAAGCAGAAATAAGATTTGTGACAATTTTAATTTTCTGTTTTTGCAAATATAATCTTAATTTGCCATATAAAATATGTCCATGATTTGATAAAAAAAATTACATTCTCACATTTTCATATGTGGATATTATTTAGCATGTAATTATAATAATTATCACTCATGCTGTTATATGTAGTTGTATGTTTATCGCGCCGGTCTGTTATTATATTTTTAAAGGTACGAGCCGACCCGCGGCGTATCATACGCCGCTATTTAGTTGTTTTATTTTCGCGTATCATACGCCGCTATTTAGTTGTTTTATTTTCTACTTTTCAGTAATTCATAATTTGTGAATTCTACAGTAGCAATGCTGTCACTGAAAATATTTGCTTTAAAACACTATCAGTAGGTCATTAAGGACGATACCCCCCCCCTCCTTTCCCCAATCCCTACCCCCCCCCCTTGAAAACAAACTCTTCTTAGTTACCTCCCATAAGTTTAAAATAGTTTCAAACAAAATTATCTGCCCCTAATAGCCGTCACTACACCCGGCTCTACGATTGTAAACATTTAGCGTGAACCACAGCTCACCAGACCATGTAGGGGTGGGGGTGGTAGATTGTTACCTATTAAAGGTATTGTTACCTTTGATAATTCTGTTACCTTTGACGATAATATTTTTTATGCTTAAGTTGTTTACTATTTGGTGGTAATGGTGTAGTTTTGGGGTATTATATGCCGGTAATATCAATCTTTTGTTTGCAATCTTTACGTAATGAGAAACAAAATTGATTAATTTTTTATTTACATTTTTGCGAAGTTTACTTTTTTGTGCTTTTTACATTTTATTAATGTTATGTTTTGGAGATGTTTCTATATATGGTGTTTTTTTTTTACATCAGCCACCACACATCAAGCACCATCCAAACACAAGCCATCAACCATCACACACTAAACACCAGCAACCACACACAAGTCACCACATACCAGCCACACACTTAGACGCCAATACCCAAGGCTTGGAGCGCCCAATTGAAATTCTGAAACAGAGCCAGTGATATGTGTGAGTAGGTGTTGGTGTGTGAGTGTGTGTGGGTGTGTGTGGGAGAGAATGCGGGGGTTGGGTGGAGGTGGGTGTGTGTAATTGAATTTTGAGGTGAAGCTAATTTACATGTTAATCTCTTGCTTGGGAGAAAAACCGACTAGAATGGTATGGGTAGGGAAAGACATTTGAGAATGGTTTTAGAAAGTGAACTGGGTATTGAGTTGAGCTTGAAAGTCTTTAAGCTCTAGACAATTTAAGTCTGTCTTTTTAAGCTCCAGACAATATAAGGCTGTCATTTTAAGCTCCATACAACATAAGGCTGTCTTTAAAGCCTAGACAATATACGGCTGTCTTTTTTAAGCTACAGACAATATAAGGCTGTTTTTTAAACTCCAAAAATATAAGGCTGTCTTTTTAAGCCCCACACAATATAAGGCTGTCTTTTTAAGCTCAAGAAAATATAAGGCTGTCTTTTTAAGCTCCACACAATATAAGGCTGTCTTTTTAAGCTCAAGACAATTTGAGACTTCTTTCCGCCCGAGCAGTCTACTGCGTCTAGAGTTGTTTTTAAAACTGTCTACGTGTTGTTCTAATCAGCTTAATTTGATTGCCACAAAAAATTACACTCGATGTTCTATATTATTTGAATAG